GGCGCCGAGCCCCTGGCCAAGGTCTTAACTGCAACCTCATTAGATACCCTGAGGCACCCAACTAAATCATTCCCATTCCTGACCCACATAAACTATTGCAATAATTTGTTATTTAGTAATAGATAACTTAAACACTATTCCAATGATAACTACAATTAGAACACAAGGAGAAAAGACAGAAGGAAGGAAAGATACAATTTAACTTTTTAATCATTAAAAATTACTGATTTCTCCTTCTGTGCTAGGCATGTGCTGATGCCTTTACCTACGTTATCCTATTTAATCCTCACAACAACCCTACAAAGCAGCTATTATTTCCCTCCAATCTACACTGAGGCACAGAGCTAGCGAATATCTCCCAAGGTTCCATTACTTGCACATAGCGTTCCTTAAGGTTTGCCTAACTTGAAAGGCTGTGCTCCTCTCCCCGTCACTCTGCTGAATTACAACTCTCCAATATGCCTGCACGGCTTCTCCAAGGCTGTGAGGACCCCTCTGGGAGGCAAGTTCATTGTGAAGCTCAGGTGCATCACTGACAAGGAACGCCCCTCCTTACCTTTTCCAGTCACATGATAGGCTCCTAGTTTGTAGCAACTATCGCTGTGCTTGTTATCTTCACAGTTGAACTTCAATACTTTGGCAGCTTCGTCAAAATTCTTCTGGATCCCTTCCAAATAGTCCACCAGCCGATAGCAACCTGTGAAGAGAGGTAAAAGCTGTTCCTCATGTCTGGGGCTGCTGCCTGCCAGTGGGAAGGCCAGACAGTGTCTTTTACTTAAGACAGCCTTTGCCCTCCAAGGTGTGGCAAGTTGACTTTACCACAAAGGACGTAGGTGGTGTTAAGCCATTCCTACAAATGGGACTGTCTTCCATTAGCCACATACTGAACTATGTATGGAATAGGGAGACCTTGGCCCTTACACTGGCTGCTCCACTTGTCAGCCCTTCTCCCTATCCGCCAGGCCCAAACACCCATTGCTTTCCATGGTTGAGGTTGAACCTCTCATGAAGCCCAGCAGTGAAAACACTGAAAACCAAAAGGACTCATGGGCTAGTCTTTGTAGCAGTAAGAATGGGGACACTGTGGCTCGGCGCCTGTGGCTCAAGCTGCTAAGGCGCCAGCCACATACACCTTAGGTGGCGGGTTCGA